AGAGAGAGAGAGAGAGAGAGAGAGAGAGAGACTCAACAAGGCCCCGCACAGCGCAGAGCTCGACTGGGGGCTCGAACTCATGAACCATGAGGTCATGACCTGAGCCAAAACCAAGAGTTGATGCTTCACTGACTGAGTCACCCAGGCGCCCCGGGTTCTGTGCTTCTGATGGGGCCGTGCGTTTGCGCTGTTGGAATTGCACTGGACGGTCAGCACCAGCTGCAGACGGATGCGTTAAAAGCCGATGTGACTTGCCCGTGCTCTGCCACCCCGTCACTCGGCCAGGCCACCTACTGATGATGGCTCCCAGTCAAAGGTACACACCAGAATCACCCCGACAGCTGAGGAATGGCCTTCCCCAAATGTCCACGTCCTCGTCCGTGGACCCTGCGAGCGTGACCTTACGTGGCGGAAGGGGCTCTGCAGGTGTGATTAAGTGAAGGATCGTGGGACGGGGAGCTTATCCCGGGTTAGCTGGGTGTGCCGTCAGTGGATCACCCGGGTCCTTATAAGTGGGAGGCAGCAAGGCCAAAGGCAGGAGGAAGCGAAGTAAGGAGGAGCAGAGCTTGGGGCGATGTGTCCAGGAGCCCCGAACGGCCCAGCCCGGAAGCTGGGAGGGGCAAGGAGCGGCTTCCCCGCGAAGGAACCCGCTCTGCCAACAACCTCATCTTAGTTCTTTCACACTGACCGTGGACTTCTGACCTCTGACACTCATCGAGAGTCGGTCTGTGTTGTCTGAAGCCACTAAGTCTGTGGTAGCTGGTCACAAGCAGTGATAGGAAACGAATACAACAGCTTTTAATTAATAGATGCGTAGGCCCTGCCGCCCCCACCGGGCCCCCAGGATCCCGGCTCAGTAGCGCCGGCGCGGGACTTGCGCGTGTGTGCGTGCGTGTGCGCGCGTGCGTATGTGGTCTAGGGCCCTCCGTAAATTGAGAACCGCCGCACCACTCCGTTGCACATTCCCCCGGGCAGGACTGTCTTACGGTCACTGAGGAGCCCGCACTGGGGGCAAGGGTTCAAAACGGGTTGTGAAGTCGACTTACACCAGCCTTGTCTCGTGGCTTCCGTTCGTGCTCCTTTTTACTCCCCCGATCCCATGCCGAGCAGTTGGGTCTGACCCACTGGCCATTCTCCGGCCACAGCCGCGCGCTACCTCCCCTAAGCCGCCCACCTTGCGGAGCTGGGGCTCCGTGCCCCTCAAGGAACCGGGTGTGCTTGTAACATAGACTGGTGCCTGCTGCGTTCTGGAGCGGTGTGGGGGGTTGGTTAGAAAGATTTAGTTGAAGTACACGATGCCCGCCTAGTTTTTGAGAAGTGTTTCCTAGCAACATCCACAGTGTTGGGGAACTGATGGCTGCACCTGCCGGGTTGGGCGGGTGGACACTCTTTGTGGACCTTTGGGTCGGCCCGTTGCCTTCCCAGAGCCCTCCTGGGTGCGGGCCGCCTGACGGGTAAGTGAGTGAAGGAAATTTGCCAACATAAATACAGGAGGCAGGGGGCGTGACCAGGTGGACTCTATGACCGTGTACGTTTGCACACCAGGAGCAGAATGTCCCCGGGCCCGGAGTCCGGGGCTGTTCTCCAGAGAACCGGGGACACTTGGCATTGGTCCCACTGCTGGGGGCAATTTCTCTGAGGCTTCTCTACTCTCGTCTGCTGCCTCTTCACATACTGGGTGGATTTATTTTACATAAATTTAAAATATAGTCATGTTACCAGCTGAATGGTGTCTTTTTAATGTAAAGTCATTTACAGTATTTTTTTTAATGTTTATTTATTTTTGAGAGAGGGACAGAGTGGGAGTGGGAGGGGGCAGAGAGAGAGGAAGACACAGAGTCTGAAGCAGGCTCAGGCTCCAAGCTGTCAGCACAGAGCCCGACGCGGGGCTTGAACTCCCGAATGGCGAGATCATGACCTGGGCCGAAGTTGCTTAACTGTCAGTCAGATGCTTAACTGACTGAGCCACCCAGTTACCCCTAATGTTTACTTATTTTTGAGAGAGAGAGAGAGAGAGAGAGACAGTGCACACACGAGCAGGAGGGGGTTGCAGAGAGGAAGGGAGAGAGAATCCCAAGGAGGCTCCATGCTGACTTGGGGCTCGATCCCATGACCCTGGGATCAGGACCTGAGCTGATATCAAGAGTCAGATGCTTAACTGACTGAGCCACCCGAAAGCCCCTAATGTAAAGTCATTTAATAACAGGAATATGCTCCTAGATGGCAGTCAATCATTGAATCTATTAAAACAAACCCTTCTCTTCCCTTTTGAGGCCCTCGACTACACTAGATTTTGAAGGTATCCTAAGACAAGGTATTCCCGTGGCAACTGAAAACGGACAATACGGCTTGAAGCTGTAATGATACAGAATGTTCCCTTGATGTGCCCAGGACAAGGGTTAAGGTATCTTGGGGACTGGGATGCTGAGACTTGGTAGAGGCACCAAGGCACTGATGTGGTGTCACTTGGTAAGCCACCTTCACCGGTGAAGACCTGTGCTCTGAGGGCAGCAGTGTCACTGCGAGGAGCCTCCAGAACCTTCCCTCAGGCAAGCCATCACATTCTGGAAGGCCCTGCACCTTCTCAGAGTTACCGCAGCTGAAGGGGGCTCCGGGGTGGCCCCTTGTCCTGCTGGGAAGCTGCCAATCCTTGGTCTCCCTGACACCATGATTTTCCTTCTGCCTCAGTTTCCTGCAACAGCCTCTCTTCTTCCTATCTGTCTGGGCCCGGGTCTCTTCTCGCTGCTGCAGGCGGCACTCAGGCAGCTCCTAGGCAACTACCTGCAAGCCATTTTCCTCCTCAGCTTTTCCCAACCTCTCACCAGGGACGTGCACCTCAGCCAACTTTCCGGTGCCCCTGGTTCCGAAGCCCGATTCCCCCCTTCTCCATCTGTCACTGGAAACGTCAGCTGGTTTCCTCTGACTTGTCTCATTCAAAGACCCTCTGCTTCATCTCTCCCGCTTCCCATTCAGCTTCCCAGCTGGAATCAGGATGCATCTTACGACGGCTGCCAGCCCGGACTGAGCGGAGTTATTCCAGACAGAAGTGGCATCTGCTTGTCACCTGGGGTCACTACCAAACTGGTCTCATGTTCCACTAACCGCCCTGCCTGAGGTTTCTGGGCCGCACTGGATTCGGCAGCAAATCCATAGGAGTACCAGCTTATGGCTCAAATTCTCTAGTGGGGCTTTTTTTCCCCTCAGTCCACCCAAGGTCAAGGTCAAGATACATACTTGCTGCCCTTTCTGCGTGGTGGGTTCAAGTCTTGCTTGCTCTCGAATGGAACATTCCCAGCTTTATGTGGGGTCTCCTATTAGATATCCCATCTTGGATGGTTATTCCTTTTTTTTTTTTTTTTTT